ATCCAACTGTAAATATTTGCTGACTAGATAAGATCAACTCCATTTAAGTTCCAAGCTGTTTGTAAATTGATACTTTTGTGTGACTGGTCATCCTAAACCACACAAATACTGAAAGGCAAATATTTAAAAAAGAAAACCACAAACTACTGCACAAACACAGTAAGACTCATTAAAAAAAAACAAACAAAAACAAACACAAAACCAACCAGAGCTGGTGGGATTCACAGGCACTTGACACATTATCACAAACAAATAAGATTGAAAAAAATCAGTTCACTGGAAGAACAGATGGGGTCTCATTTGAAGTTGCAGGTTCTAAAAGGAAAAAAAGACTACTAAGCCACCATCCATGCACTCTCACATTTCAGATTAGAAGAGATACCACAAAAATGGAAGTTTGTGCTTATGGATTTTCCAGAGTTTCCAAAAGCAGAGAAGATGGGCTGCTTACTACAGAAATCCGTACTAACAAAACCCAACTTTTACCATTTTTGACCAGCTAAATATCCAACTACATATTCAAGTCCCAAATTAAATCCATTGGATATTTACACATCGCATTGCTCCAGTTTTCACCAAAAAATCAAAGTTTTTAATTTAGTTTCAAAGATTAATAGAGAGACATATTCCAGAAACTTGGGACAGTATTAAAACATTTAACAAAATTTCTGCCAATATCTCTCTACACTTCAAAGCACACCATGTCTGATACTTGTCCTCCCAAAAACCTCAATTAACCAAGTCCAGCTGCAAGCAGAACCTGAAAAAATGCAACCCATTTGCCTCTTCCATTATGAAATCTCTATGGAGCTGTCTGCTTCTCACAAAAATGGGATTTCAACACAAATTTTATCAGAACTTGAGAAAGCAAAAGTGCATTGGCAATCCCAATACACACATCTGCCACTTCCCGCAGCAGCTTGCTGTATTTCTAACAAAGGAGAAGGCCCACTTCCTTTCTTCTGTCCTAAAACTGAAACGTGGAAGTTGATGAAAGCCAGAGAAACTGAGAACTACAAAATTTAGAGTCACATATTTTGCAGCTTCTTGGAATTGTATGGCATGAAATGAACAAAACTATAATCCACAAAGCCTTTCTAGTCCTCTTTTTAATCAGAAGCAGCACTGAGCTTTAACAGCTTTGTTTTCATCAAGCACTGTTTCCGAGGTTAGTAAATATGCTGATATTATCTAAAGACAGTAGACTTCTCAGATTGCATTTCCAGATTGTGAGAGACTCTACAGGCTTTACTCCTGGAGCTTTCTGGGGAGCACATTCAGACTGCCACTAGCATGATCTTTACCCAGCATGAATGCCTCACAGAAAACTGTTCAAGATGGAAAGATTTAGCATACTTCAACCATTACATATGTACTATTGCAGAGTATTCACGCTGGAGCCCAACTCAGGCAATGATCAAGCAGGTCCCACCTACTTATTCTCAGCCTATGCCAATGAAATGGGTGGAAGCACAGGATCTCATTCCAATTCAATTCCATGATTTTAGGCCAAAAGGAGAGCAGTCCTTTAAGCCAAAGTGATCTACCCTCTCAACAATTCTTGCCTTGCACGTCAAGTTCCTTACACGTGCAGTTCCAGAGATTACTAGAAAAGGTAGCTTTAAGAAGTAAATAATGAATTAAAGCAGATACACTCGCATCCCCACATTAATAATGCAGTTTCATTACATGCATAGCAAAATGCTAACAGATTGCATCTACTAGCCTGTGAGGAAAGACACGTCATCATGTCTTAATAAAAAATTTGTGCACTTGTGTGCAAGGTTCACACTGTGTAAAGCTGTATGCAAGGAAATAAATTCTATCATGACCTGGGCAGCACGATGGATTAGGAGTATAGGTAACAAGTTGTCAGCATCCCTTAGAAAAAGCATCTTATTTATCATCTGTATAGACCCCCCAGAGCACCAAACATGTAGTTTGGATCATCAGGCCTTTCTGCAAGGACAAATTACAGAGAAACTTCTTCCTGCTCTTTCACCTTAAGCCAAACCGTGTCATACACAAGCGAGGCTCTTACATGCCATCTCTGCTGTTTAATGAACAGAAACAATCTCTCCTCTTCTGCTCTCGCTATCAGCCACCTAACAGCTTTTAGAGACCCAGCAGGTAAACAAACCTTAAAATTACCCAGGCTGTTAAAAACTAATCAGTGAAACAGTACATTTTGTAGGCTGGAGTTTCCGGATGAAAAAAGCAGCCAGCCTTCATCAAACCCAGAGGATTACAAGACAGCATTTTGAGTCCTAAAAGCATTTGTTTATTCACTTGGATGCTTACTGTATGCTAATGGTCACAGAGCTATTGCTTTTGCTCAGGGGCATGTGAGCAACACATGCATCACTAGAATAAGTCAGCTGGTGCACAGTTTGCTCTCAACTACCAGCTTTTCTGGGAAAACCCTGCCATACAAACAGTCAGACATCTGGCCACATAATGGGGCTAAAGGTTACCAGACTGCAAAAAGAAATTCAAACTGCTCGATAACAATTTAACTAGAAAGGGGTAGTGACTGCAAGCAAACTGCATTCATTTCCCTGGTGGGAACCACATGCTGATGGCTGCCTCCTTTCATCAGGTATTATTTGGGAACCTGCACACTTACTAGTGGATGTGAGCTCCTAGCAGATAGATATCACACTGACCACGTTGGTTATCTGCTACAATAGAGTTACAATTAACCAGCTGGACAGTTCAAACATCATCACTGTTGTTCAACCCCGAGACAGGGCTTGGTGGGAAAAAAAAAATAAATAAAAAGTCACTGGACAAAATGCTGCAGCCTTTACTCTAGTACTGTAGTCCCTGTCGCCCTTGAAGAAATGAATACTACAGTAAATGACATTACTAGCCTCTGTAATGAACAGCAACATCATAATAAAACAGCAGCAAGAGCCAGTGTTCTAGATGACCCAGCCTAAAGAGGGGAAAGTAGACAGGCAGTATCTGCTACAGAAAGTCAGCTTCCTGACCTAATTTAGAACAGGGTTTCCCATGCAACAGCCTCAGGGTGCAGTAAGGTTTACCCCACAGTGCTAGCTGCTAGTCTCTCTCAAATTAATGCCACAAAATCCTTCAGGGTTCATCACTAACTCCCCACTGATTCTGCTTGCTGCGTTGTTTCCATGCCTGCTGAGTTTTGCAAGCCCAATGATGATGTGTGCATTCTGCAAGCCCAGAGGCTCAGCACAAAGCAACCAGCAAACTGGTTTTTCTTTTTTCCTCTGGCGGGGAAAGGGAAAAGTTCCATTTGGAAACATCATGTTTCCCATTGCAAAAGGAATAGATTTGGAGCCTGCCACATATGAAGAACGGAGATGCCATGCTGGCATTGGTATGCTAATACCACCTAATCCAGCAAACACTTCAACATTTTTCCAGTCACTGCTTCAAAACCATAACCAGGTTTAAGGCAGAAATATCTTAACGATGAATGCACAGAAAGCTGTCAGCATAGCCATGGAGCTATCACGCATACATGAAAAAACTAAGTTTTCTTATGCATTCACACATATCAAACACATTCACCCTAAATCCAAATTAAACACTTCAGTTAAAGCCATCCTCTGTTGAACTTCAGACCTGAACTTTGCAATTCTGACACTTCAGCATGTGCCCTCTGCATTATCCTTCCTGTTTTCTATGCTTTAACTGAATCACTACTTAAATCACCACAGCTAAGGGAAAACCAGTAGTTTTTCTCAACCAAGCTATGTTTTTCAGTGTCAACCTTTTAAAAGGGGTATTATCAAATCCTTGCTGGCATGCATTTATTTACAGAACTTCCCCAAAACTTAATAAAATGACAGACTGACCTTGCTAAAGGCACCTCATGCAAGGAGAGTTACTACACAGTCAGACTGGATATTAATAGAAGAATTATATTTGTATAGAAGTATATCATATATAGTAGAAGAATGTGTCCTATAAGCACTCAAGCAACGCAGCAGTCAGTGAGCCATTCTAGTCTGCTGGGTGCAGAAACAGTAAGAAACAAGTTTTTTTATGGAAGTACAGTACATACTTTCGGGCATAAACCAACACAGGTTTCACGCAACAAAAGAAAAAATGGCCCACACTGAAGTACCCTAAGGATTTATAACGCACTAACTTCTTGGAGGAACTTTTAAAGCGTCCTCTGTATTCTGGGCCTTCAGGAAAGGCAGATTATTCCACTCTCCAATTAAAGGTACAGTAAACTACACTGCATGTTGTAGACCTTGATTGCACCTGCAGAGAGTTACATTAAGTACAGCTTTTTCTTTGTATGGCCACACAATAACTCCCCGGGCATCAATTTTCTTGTGTTGACAAGCTCTTGGAAGTCTTCATAAATTATTTGTCCTCTTTTGAGCTAAAGGAGTGAGTGACTTTCAAGTCTGGAAAGCCAATGAGAACTGAACCCAGACTATCTGGGCATGCAGACCCACCTACTAGCTACAAGGCTTCTTTATTTCTCTCTCACCCTCTCATTTTCCCAACATCAGCTACTGAATGAAGGATTTCATAGAAGGTCTTAGCAGTAGGAATGAACATCATCAAAAAAATGCTGACAAAGGTTTAGCATGATCACTCCCTGTCCTGGTGATCCCAGCAGCAAGATCACCTCCTCTCTCAAGGGTATCTTCAGAACACCTTAATCAAGTTACATCTCATCACCCATTCTTTCAGGACAGTCTCCATCACTCGAAAGCAAGTTCTTTTCATTTGCTCTGTATTACCTGTTGATGGTATTTAGAGGACCATGAACAAATACAGAACACGGCACTGCTGTTTCCAACATGCCTACTTCTTGCACATAAGGATTAGGACTTTTGGTCTGACATCAGCAAGTCCAACCACATTACCCATTGCAGCAAACTGGTGAGGACTGCCCTAGGAGAAGCACTCCAAGATTTCTAGGGGGACAGTAGACCCTACCTAACTATTGTCCCAGGCTCTTCCTGGAAGCAGGGAAGGTAAAGTGGCCAAAAACATACCTGCTCTCACTGTATTCCTTCTTCTCTCTCACACGCAGCCACTTCCGAAGGAGGAAGCGCTTGCGCCGCGGGGAGGCACTGGGTGTAGAGCAGTTGGACCAGGGAGTGTCCTCATCACTGGAGGGGGTGATTTCAATGGATGGGAGCTGCAGGTATTCCTTGCTGGAGGAAGGAGAATCCTGATACCTGCTGACCTCCAGGCTCTGCTCCTGCACATTCTTCATCCGCCTCATCTTGAAGCGCTTCCTGCGCAGGGTTGGGGTGGATGAACTGGACCAGGCACGGCCACCCTCCACCACCTGCTGCTCTGGGACTTGCAGTGCTGGGAGCTGCAGGGTTTCTGTCATATTGGCAGCTGGCATCAGATGCCCTTTCTCTTTCTGCTCCCACCCCCAAGCACACTAGCTCTGATCTCGGTGTAAACCACACCGCAAAAGCACAACTTGCCTTCCTCCTCCCTCACCCAGTCCGTACTGCCCTCCCTCTCAAGCAGAAAACCTCATGTTCTTCACGTGCTTTTCATTTAACAAACAGCGGGGTGGGGAGGGGATGTTCAGGACACAGACATGCCACAAGGGAAGCCAGTTTCAAGTTTCTTTTTTCTTTCTCCTCTCTACAACCCTAAGTCCCTTCCCTGCCTGGTCTCTCTAAAAGCAGCAGGTTTCACACAGAGAAAAAGGTTGCCAGCAACAGCTTGGCTCACTTTCCCCCTCCCGCCGCCTTTGCCTTCTGTTGGCTCAGAAAAGAGAATCTCCTGGGGCTGTGCTAGGAAACTCAGCTGTAGTCTTCTCGAAGCAAGTATGGAGTGGAGCGGCGTGGAGCTGTGAGGAGGTCAGAAAGAGAAACAAAGAGAGGGAGGGAAGCAACAATACTAGATAACATCAGGAGCAAGAATAGGAGGAGCTGCATGTTCTTTTTCTGTAGCGGGTAAGACATACGCAGGCAGCTGTTGCAAGTGTAACTGCACTCTTAATCCCAAGAGACAGGGTTTAGATTACCAAATATGCTGCTGCTACAAATCAACTGATGACAGGGGGTGAGAAGGGATAATAGCCCTCTGTAGAAGCCAATTGGACAGGCTTTCCCCTTGTCCCACCTTCCTGTTCAGAAAGCCCACCCCACGTAGGGAGGGAGCAAGTAAACTTGGATTTTCAGCCTTCTTTCACAAATGGGGGTGGGGGGGTTCGTCCCAATTGACTGCTCACAGAAAAGGCAAAGGAGGAGAGGGATTGAGGAATAGCTAAAAAGGCAGTAGCAGCAGGTGGCACCAGAGCTGGGAGGCTGGTTGGTTTTATAGCTCCGGTTCACATGAGTGAAAGCTGATCAAAGTTGGAGGGCAACGCTGCTTCCAAAATGACAGTGGATGATGGATGGTCTCAGGTCCAGGAACCAACAAAGACATCACATAAAGACAATCAGACATGCAGAACAGATTTTATACCATGAGAAAGACACATACTACATGGAAGGTTCCCAGGCATTTAATACACTAAGGAAGATCTACCAAGGGTCAGGCACTAGAGGGAATAGCAGCCTCAGGGCAAACCTTGTGAAATTCTGGTAAGGAAACCAAATCAGATAATAAAAACAAACAGTGTGACAGATTCCAGGAATCATCAAGATTGCCGGAATTTCACTGAATGCTCCTGAACAAAGTTGTATTTTCAGGTGGAAAAGTGATATAGAACTTAAATACTCTAAGGCAATGATTAGAATTCAGCTGTGTGAATTTCAAGTGTGCTGTCAGAAAAAAAAAAAAAACCAACAACAAACATCTCTAAATCAGCCTGACACAACTTTAGTTTTCATTGTTCAACAGCCTGAACTTTTAAAAATATCAGTTTCAGATTAGAAAATATTTGTCAACCCAAATCAAAATAGATTTTCTTGCATGGACTGCGTCAGTTTTGTTTGAAAATAAACTTCACGAGAACTTTGAACATCAAAAACTGCCATCTAGAATACATATAACTAAACATGTCAGAAACAGAATTATAACAGCAGGAACAACAGGGAAGGAAACGTTTCAATAATATGTTGGGGGGGTTGGTTTTGTTTCTTGCTTTTTAAATTCTCAGGTGCAATATTCTACTTTGTTGAACTGTCCTTTTTGCTTTGCTCATCCTGTAAGTTAATAGCTTGAGCAACTCTTCAGTTTCTGGAGCTCCTGTCACCTTGGTGTCTATACATCAGTTGCACACACACACACACTCAGAGCGTCTTCTACAAACACCACTTAATTTTTAAGTCAAAACAGTTTTTTCAAGTCTGAGAAACAAAAATCTACAGATTAGACAAAAAGTCAGTAATCTGTATTTGAATCTGTACTTGCATGAGTAGCTGTACATCCTATCCTCTCTGCCTTTCAAGGGCTGATACCTTGTCTTCCTCATCCGCAATGAGGAGAAACCTGAACCTGAGTGTTTCAGCCATCCATTGCCATGATTTTTATCCCATCACCACACACAGAGAAGCCACCTGTAAACAATCTACCTGTTAACACAGAAAATTAACTTTTATTTTCTTCCTTCCCATGTCATCTGGCAATCAAAAGCCCACAAAATCATTCCTAGATTTTAACCAAGAGCAAGTTATGCACAACTTTGGGGGAAGGGATCAGTGGCCCTTTGGAGGCTACCATAATGAAGGTTTGCTTCCAATCTGTGGAATCTTTTATCAACTATGCAGGATTCTCATTTAATTGCAGAAAGATATGCAAGCAAAAAGCGTCAAAGTTTGCACTTTGGCATGCTTTCTTTAGTAATAAATTGCACAGCAGACATTGCAAACCCTTAAAATCCACACAGACGTTTTCTAATTAATCAACAAGATTAATACATACTACATTGCTCTGGGCAATAGCAGCATTTGGTAATCACTGTCTTTGACAAGGGAAAAGCAGCCCTTTCACCCATCTGCGTTGTGTTGCCATGGCCATGCCAGTACAATTTCTTCACCCTCAGCTTCGCTGAACACTACTGGAATTCAGTAGACAGGATCCTTTTCCACTCCCCTTCACATATACAAAACTGAAAATAATTCAGTCCGATCTGCCACTAGAATCCCTTCCACTTAGGACAGGGTAGACATGCATGAGGACTACCCCTTTAATTCCAAGTACTTCACTGATTAGTAAGCAACACTTATTTGCACTCCAACATTCTCAGTGCATTTTTATTTTGGAGAGAGGATGCTGGCCACCTGTCTGATGCTTAGAAAAAAGAGAACCTATGTAATAAGAGAGACAGCTCAAACACCTGACTCGCAAAGTGAAAAATACCAGCCATGATCAAGCACTATTTCTGTACAAATCACAACAGCACAGTTTGACTGCTTCCATGAGAGCCTGTGTGTTGCTAGATCCTAATGACTACTTCTGCATTTAAATGATCCATCTAACAACAGATTCATTAGAGAAGCATATGGTTGCCAATGCTTCAGGTTGAACAAAAATATCTCTGCTTTTCTCTTAATCAAACATCCTGAGTTTTCCAGTGTCCTCAGAATAGCACTTATGAATTAAGCAAAGTAGAAAGAAAAATCCTCTGAAAAACTAAGAATCCCTTCTTTGAGTGAAGAACATGAAATAATGCCAGCACAGATTCTTTGGTAGTCCATAATAGCTTTGTCATTGCAAGACTTCCTTGGACTACGACTTTGGCCATCCATTGGTCTTTGCACGCTAAGGTAGAATGAGGCCTATTGCAATTTGACATAGGACAACTTGTGGTTACATGCAAGGAGCACGTATGGGCCAACCATTCTTATTTTACAGGTCTGTCCCTTTAAATCATGCACAGCCAACCAGCAGTTGCTATCATTTGAACATACACAGTCAATTTTATTTTTACTGTGTGATACCCGATACCTCCATGTGTTGTCCTCTGAAACCCAAGGACTATGTTACAAGACAGATGACAAATTTCACAGGCCACAGGGTGAGAAATACCAGCAGACTGATACCCCAGTCTATTACAAAGCAAGATGGAGACATTCCTGTGGCCCATACATTCCCTCATTCTTCTCTGCTCAGTACATTTATTCAGGACTTGCCAGAAGCTCTGCCACAAGCAGCCCAGTTCAGAAAGCAGTCTTGCACACTCTTTAGTGACCACAAATACTGATTGCCTGGGTTAAACACTGCCTCAGTAGCTCTTCCTTCATCTCCCAAAAAACATGGTGTGAAGGAACATAAATGCATTTTTATCCAAAAGGACTCAAGATGTCCCTTTCATGCCACCTGACCAAAGGACAAAACAGTTCTCTATTGCAGTTTGACCAAAAATAATAGAAGTGCTTTAAATGAAATCTCCAGTCGGCGAGAAATCAACCTTTGGGTAAGTTACATGAACTGCACTGGCCTATGGCATAAGACCTTACTATGTCTGTCATTTTGATCCATAATAATTGGCATCTAAACTAAAATACAGGTGCATAAACACTTTTACTCAATGTGCAAAGCACAGCTTGTGCATGCGTTAAGTGCATTACAGAAGGTTACCTGATCCAAGAACTAGGAGCAGTAAGTCTCAACCCCTACCCGAATCCCATCATTGGTGGGTAATAACAGGGGACAGAAAGGGGTTGCAATAGGCTTAGCCCCAAAGTATCCAATCTCTCCTACCAGAACCACACACAACTTGTGGAATATACATTGTATTACACATTAATTGCTGGCCATTTCAAGAAGACTTGAAAAGGCTCAGAAGAAAGCAGACTCCAACAGGGCTTTCCGATTAGAGGTTAACCTATATCTATTTGTGCTTTCCCTTCCCATTCTCACGTCAGCAATAACCATTAGAGACTTCAATCTGTGAACAAGAATACCACACATAACTAGGCATTTAAATTTTGGCCTCATACACAGTAGCAAACCCCAGAGTCTTCAGATACCATCAGAATTCCAGAATTTGTCAAGCATGATTCAAAAAGCATAGCACATCACATATTTTTTCAGCATTAGGACAATACTTTCACAGTTCATTTCTTCAGGTAGTGCTCTTCCATCAAATTAAAAGGGACAGTTGAGCTAAAGATAGCAAGCAAAGCAAATTAAGTCAGTGTCATGACTTTGCAACAATAATTGATCAGAAGATGACAATAGGACAAAGGCTCCAGGACCTTCTTAGCAGTTTGAGTTTTCTTTGCAATTTAGAACAGAAGTGAATTATTTGGGAGTGCTTATTTACACCGTGCAAGACCTCTCACTTGAGCATCCAAAAGGGAAGTTCTTTTATTCTCATAAATTTAATGGAGGTGATAGAGGGTAAATCAATTAAATTCCATCGCTCACAAAACATAGGGTGACCATTAGAATTAATTTCCATACGAGCTTGGCATTTGGTTTGCATTATATACACTGTATATGAAGGAAGCA